GAGTGCTAGCCAGTGCAAGTTTGAACAGCTAGGCTGCTGTTCGTTGGTTGGGGTTTCTTGCGATTCGATTCCTCTGATCTTCGAGTTCAATATTAGTGGTAGAGTTAAAAAAAATTCCTTTGCTGGATTTAATTATTTACTAATTTATGTGTTCCAATCCTGTGAGTATTATGTCAATTTGGATCAAATTTATAGCACAAACACCTGACACATTTATCCCCTTTCCATTTCAGGTTTAAAAATAAAAAAACTTGGCTATCTGTCTAAATTTGAGTTATTTTACGATCTATATAATATTGATGTTTGATTTGTAGGGCTTTAATCAATTGGTCGATATGTATTTAGCTGCATCTTCTGAGAACCAAACTTGTGCAGAAGGTTGGTTTATTTATTTATTGTTATTTCTGGTTTCTTTTTTAGTTGGAAATCAAATTTGCAATTTTTATTTGCTCTGAGTTTTCGTCAAGTTGCTATTTTGCTTAAAAAACAAAATGTTACATCATTTTTCCTGTGAATTATTATGGTAGAAATTTCAACTGAAGTTCTGAACTTTACTTGAAACTTTCTGCACCCTTCTTGTCTCCCCTTCAAAAGAAGCCTCTTTCTTTATCTTGCTCTGTAATAGGAAGCAGCTTTCAACTAATTATGTTTNCTGCACCCTTATTGTCTCCCCTTCAAAAGAAGCCTCTTTCTTTATCTTGCTCTGTAATAGGAAGCAGCTTTCAACTAATTATGTTTATCCAAATAATTGCCTTGAGAAAGGGCCTTTGTGCTTGCTCACGAGAATTGCACAATTAGATTTAATGGTAAAATTGGTATTTACTTCAGATTGGCCCCCAGATTTTGGTGCCTTACCTTGTTCTCATTGAAATTTTCCTCATCAAGCACCTTCTGGTATTTCCCATTTCCCCTGTCATCATCAATCAAGTTTGCTCAACAATTGCACAATTTTTTCTTAGAAAAATGAACTAAATTTATCTCTCTCCTTCCCTTAAAAAGAGTGAATCCCATGATCACTGTTCGTTTTTGTCACATGCTATTTCACACTGAAACTGGTTTGGTACTGTAGCTAATATGGATTTTCCACTGCTCATAAATATCCCATTCTCACGCCACAATTGTTGACTGGAATTGTAGCATAAATATCTCCTCTATAAAATTTTTCAAGCTTTGGCAGTGGTTTGGAGTTGGGAAAAAGTATTCCAGTAAGATTTTTACAACGGAGAAGAAAACTGTACCTATGTAAGTCTCTTTCGTCTAAGATTTGATTATTTGTTTTAACTAAAATTGTACTGGGTTTGTTGTGCTCTTTTTTATTAGCTCAACCTTCTGGCCTCAATATCCTCTAAAAGCCGATCACAAATCGAAAATTCAAGGTTCTTTGTTTCCTCCTGTAAGATTTTAGTTCTTGTTTCTCAATCTTTCAATTGCGAGTAGATATATTTCTGTGATTACATACGTATACTGATGAATTGTGTTTGACGCAGAGTGAAAAGTGAGGGCCGGTGGATCCAATGCGGTCGAGTCTACAACTTTATCCCGTACTAAATGTGGCAGACTTGCTCATCTTCAGTATGTAATCATCATCTCTTTAAATTGTCTATGGTGTGTGAATTATCTTCTTAGTTACTTTTTGTTTTAATCTGATTTATTCTACGAGTTTCATTTTGATTGATACGTCTGTCATCTTCTGCTCTATTTTTGCCTTTCGTACTTTAATGACAGATACACCATTTCCTTGTGAGTAGGTTAGTAGTTACTTTTTGTTGAAATAAGATTTTTTATATTTCTACTAGTGCTTTTGTTTTTTGTTTCCAACATTTTACCTCTACATTTGTATGAGAGATTTAATTTTAATTTTTTGATTTTTGCTGTTGTCGACTACATTCCAGTCTTCTATGTTCTTTCTATAGTAATTTTCAATATGTTCCCAACTGGTCTTGGCTTTGTGATTGATCTAACAGAGACTATACTTTTGGCTTTGTTATGTATTTTTTTATTTTATTTTATGAAGCTTTAGTTCATGAATATTTTTCCCTTTCTCTTTTATCAGCTTTTCCTGTCATAAAGTGCTGCTGAAATTCGTTCGTTTGCACTACTGCATCATATGGCTTGATGTGTCGGTAATTGCTAATATAACTGAAAGCAATTTGTCTGTTTTAGACATTTGGTGATATTGTGTGTTCTTGCTCGGGGGTCAATTTGATCAACTTGAACTTTTGCTTCTAATTATTAGTTATTTTACGTATCTTTCATATTTTCCATATTCTATTACTATTATTGAAAGATAATAAGTTCAACTTGAGTCCTTAACGACAGTCAAAGGATTAGTTAAAAAAACTTATTTGCATTCAAAGACCTAACTTCAAAAATCTTCTGTTGTAGGTTAAACTCTTAAATTATGTTGTCAATGCAGCTCCTATCAATTTTTAACATTAGACACACTTAACATTACTTTAGAAATAACACAGCCCGTGCATTGCACGGGCATAAAACTAGTATATGTAAAGACATTATCTACTAATTGATTAAATGGATGACTAAGTCAGGGTCCAGATCACATACCTGTTATCATCATCACACACTCCCAGGTCAAGTGCTCTACGGATGGTCTCAGAACTGTCATGTCTTGGCGGATCAAAGAGAGGCAGTAACCACAAAATGTCCAAGGCTCTCCAGGACTCTCCTTAGACATTTCTAGAACTTCCTGAAATGATGGTCAATACCATCACATATTGTAGAAACACTTGATCTAAAAACCTAAGTTATTAGATAGACCAAATGTATATCATTTAAATATTTTCTTCAACATGCTACCTCACATGCAGGTGAGATTTATTTTTCAATTAAAGCCTAGCATGTGCACAATTAATTAAATGGATGGCTTTGTTTGTTTTGATACTATGTAGAACAACCGGATCTAAAAACTTAAGTTGTTAGATATGACCAAGTGTAGATTACTTAAATATTATTTTCAACACGTGATAACGTATAAGTTTAGAAAGAACACATAATTGTATGGCTTGATTATCTTCCTTATTCTTATCTATATGAAATATCCTTAAATTTTCATGTTTCTTTTGCTTAAAAATTCCCTGATAGACCGTGATCTTTTTCATTTCCAAATCCCTGTACTGATGATAAGTTACTGAGCTGTAATTCACTGACTACATTTATCATTTGATAGCAGAGATTACCTGTAAGGCCACAGCAAGAGAACGTAAACCCCTCTCAGCAAACTTGTCAATAATTGTGTGCACATTTTCAGCTATCTCCTCTTTCTCTTGGCACAAATTTAGGATCTGGACTTGAGATCAGAGTTAAAGATCTTAATGTTTTTTCACGTTAGGACACCTTAGAAAGAGTCCTAAGTCATCTAAGAAACTGAATACTACAGATCCTCTCAGCAAGAAACTTGCAAAGGGAAGAGATTGTGATAAAGGAATCTTCTCATTTGAGATATAAACTTCCTTAATTGGAGAGATAGAGAGTTAATGCTCATAGAAAACTCAAACCAACAAAAGAATGAAGCATTTATTTGCCAAAAAGATAACATGCATCATGATGCAGCTAATATATTTCATGATTAAGGCATTTTCTGAAATGGGCCCCACAATATCATTTAGTCTCCCAGAAGGGGCATTCAACTTGATGCTTGTCAAGTATCATGAAAGTATTGCTGGTTACCATTTCTCCTTGTATGATCATCAATTGTCAATAATCTAGTCATACGAGCTCAAGGGATATCCAAGCTAACAGTGAATCAATGTGTGGTACCTGTTCGGGAGCTACTTTGCTGGCCCGGTACCATTTTCCATCTGAATCAATGTACGTGATTGCAGTACGTTTGTCCACAGGATTGAATGGAAAGAAATGAATTTCCTTAATATTTACACGTGCCTGTGGATTGTTACCCAGAAGTTAATTAATCATTATTCCTACTCATTTCGCTTCACAAACTTAACATACAAATGAAGGAAAAGATCTGACTCCAATCAGAATGTTTATTTTCCTTTACCTCCTTTGGGTCATTGAGCATGTTAATAATTGCTGTATCAATAGCATCCTGATTCTCCAGCCTTGATGCTCTTGCTGCAAGCAGCACAATCATGTCTATGTCCATGTATTTGTGAAGTACCTATTCA